AAGTTCTTCTTGGGGACCAGGGAGTCCAGCGCAGCATTTTGGCACGAGCCCACTCAGTCCGGAGTCACGGACGGCGGCCTTCTTGTCCTTCGGGGAGGCGTCCTCGGACACTGCAGCCGCAAGAGGTTGAGCTGAAGTTGGTCCACGCGAGCCCGCGCCAGCCTTGCCAGCTCCTTCTTCTCCACGTGCTTCCTTCTATAATACTCGCTCTCCTCCACGGCATCCACAGGAGTGTCTAACCAGGAGTAAAGGTTGAAAAAAGCGGCGTGCTCCAGATCCTCGAGCTCCGAGTTGGCTTCCCCTACGAGGATCCGTAGGCGGGCCAGACGCGCCACCAGGCGACGGCGTTTCCGCCACGTCTTCAGCGCAAACCTCCCCGGCCGGGCCATGCGCACAGAGCTAGGCACAGTCCGGCCACTCGAGACAACAGCTGCTGCGGCCGACGACGGTGGTCTTGTAAAATCAGATCTCCACCGCAGGCTCTTGGCAGCAGCAGTAGCGCGAACGCTCCAGAGTGCAGGGAGTCCTTGTTTTGGAACTGCGCCTGCGAGAGTCTTGAAGCTTCGGTGTATACATGCGCTTACATCTCCATCAGACGCAAGGGGGCGCCGAAGTGCAGTTCCCAAACACCACGACAGAGCTGCAGCAACAGCGCGCAGACGCAAGCCAAGACCAGGCGCACACCAGTCAGCTCCGCTTCCAACGCGGAGAGCCTCTCACGCGCGACCAGCAGGTGCTGGCGATGGATCTCCACGGCCACACCTTGCTCGCCAACCCGGGCCACGCCCCACTCCAGATCGACGCTGATCCGCTGCAGCTGCTCTGTGAATCCCATGCAGGCGCGGACCAAGCGAGCTCGTAGCTGGTCAAGAGCTTCTGTCCAGGAGCTGTAGACCACGTCGAAGTCTGCTTGCAGCACGAAAACTGCCGAGGCGGACTCGTCCATGATGTCCATGGAGGGCCAACTGCTACCTTGACTTCCTTCCAAGGTGCTGCGGGCGGCGGGCGCAAAGTATTCCCTTTCTGGTAAAGACTCATGGGCTTACGTATGGGGGCTTAGGGTTGGGGTTGTAGCGCGCCGGGCGCTCGCGAGCGTGGCAGAAGCGCAGGCGCTGTAGGCTAGCCTCATATGGGCTTAGGTATAAGGGTTTAGGGTTTAGGCTAGGGTCATATAACCGGGGCTGTAGCGCGCCGAGCGCTCGCAAGCGTGGCAGAAGCGCAAGCGCTGCAGGCTAGCCGCAGAAGCGCAAGCGCTCAACCTCGTCGCGCGTCGCCCCGCCACGTTGCTTCCTGCAGCAGCGCAAGCGCTCAACCTCGTCGCGCGTCGCCCCGCCGCGTTGCTTCCTGCAGCAGCGCAAGCGCTCAGCGTCGTCGTGCGTAACCCCGCCGTGTTGCTTCCTGCAGCAGCGCAAACGCTCAGCGTCGTCGCGCGTAACCCCGTAAACCTTACACATCCCTGACTCCCATATATATAACCCTATATGTACCGCGGCGCTTGCTGCAGCAGCGCAAGCGCTCCGCGTCGTCGCGCGTGTTCCCATGCGTCTCTGCGTCCTAAACCCAGCAACCACGCTCCGAAGCGCAAGCGCTCAGCGTTGTCGCGCGTAACTCCGCATTATATATATATATAGATATATCCCCTGTATACAAATTCTGCGAATGAGTGCCTGAAGAGCTCGGCGTCGTCGCGCTATCCCCTGACAACCTATATACCCTAGCTCCTGAACCCAAAACCCTGTCCTTTTCTTTTCTTCTGAAAAATACTTTTCGTTTTACAATGAAAACCGGAAACAGCCCACTTATACTCTCTCTTCCTGTTTTCCATTTCAAAACCCAATTCATGCATGTTATTGCGTTGGTTTCAGAAATAATTAGTGTAAAAAATGCAAAAAAAACATATGCTGCGCTATGTACATGAACCAGAAAATGCAAGTAAAATCCGAACCAAAAGTTAAGTAAAGTTAAGTATTTTTAAGTGTTTTTTAAGTATTTCCGACTTTACCATGTTGCATACTTAGCCCACAGCTAGCTGCCAACAAGTGCCGGTGTAAATCTGCTAAGTCGGATAACTAACCCCCCCGATACTTAACACTTAAACCCAACTTAAACATAACTTAAACCCATGTTACTAAGTAGCTAACTGCTCTTACCTGCTGACCGCCCGGTAGCGTA